TTGATGAGTTGTGTCCCCCGGCCATAGTAATTACAATATCAGTAACTTCGAGGACCGAAACCAAATACCTTCGGCCATCTCCCATTTTTTCACAATCTCAACCTCGACCGATCAATGTCCGGTACGCCCCAGACAACCCCCACAGCCTCTATTACACTAATCAGAGCGAAGAACTCACAGATCTTCATTGTCTCCGCATAATCGAGACACTGCGCGGGAGCGAGGATAGCCTCGATCCTCAAGAAAAGGCGTTCGTTATTAAGATATCCCGTCTCGTCGAAGGCGAAGGATGGTTTGGCTCTGAGCGAGACATCATCGTTGTATCTTTCATGAGGTTCATGCGTGATCTTGCTCTTGGCGAGGAGGCGCTGGAGGAAACTTGGTGCCGGTACATGAGGACAGAATATTATGCATGCTTGTGTGAGATGTCGTGATAGCAGGACCTTCACTCTAAAGAGATGGCTAACTTGGCAGTTGACAGGCGAGGCAAGGGAGAAGAGGGAGCGTCTAGCAGGACAGGATATGGGCCTTTCATGACGGTTTCGAAACTCGAGAGTGGGAGACAAGCAATGGTCACTACCAGCATGGTGACTATGTGATTACAGCTAGAAGAGCACATCCGAGTAGTGCCTTCGAGAGCAATTCTCCCCGGCACAATTGACACGCTTATATGAACATCGGAGTGCTGCAAAGCTGAGTATCATATTTTCTATTTCGTACTTTTTGGTCTTACTATTCGGATCTTTATCCGAGGGTTTGACCTTCATCCAAGATGATGGTCTTGAGTCACACACAAGCCGTAGATGCCCGATTCATCCGAGGTTATCCGACCAATACATAACGACCTCACCATCACTCTTCTCATCTAACAACATTGATACCATCATGGCTTCATCAAGGCAACATAATCGAAATGAGTGCCCGGTCACTGCAGACCCGGAAATGGGCACTTCCCACCCACCGACCATGGAAGTAGAAGAGCCATTGCAAGAGGAAACCACCACAAATCTGTAGGTCGTCTCGCCGCAAGCTAGAGCCCAGTCTAATGATACAGGAAATCTACTCTAGTGGTGATAGCCGCCTTCATGAGTATCTTCACCGGCTGTGGCCTCAACTTCGCCTTCGGAGTGTATCAAGAACTCTACGAATCTATGGCCCAACTCCCCGGTCGCAATCCATTCACTGGCGTCACTCCAGCCCAGATTGATCTCATCGGGACGCTGGCCGTCTCCATGATGTCCCTCGGGGCGCCATTCGCCTCGGGCTGGTGCAAATCCTATTCCCCTCGTAGGATCACTCTAGTCGGGACGGTCATCTTCGCCACCGCGAACGTCCTCGCATCTTTTAGCCAGCACCTGTGGCACTTCGTCCTCACCCAGGGGGTCCTACTTGGCTGCGGCACATGTCTCACCTACATCACCGCCGTGACCGTCGCCCCAGGCTGGTTCACCACCCACCGCGGCCTGGCCATCGGCATCATCTCCTCGGGCACCGGCGTCGGCGGCGTCGCCTGGGCGCCTGCGTTGCGCGCTCTGAACGCCCAGATCGGGTTTCGGAACACCCTCCGACTCACGGGCGGTCTCTCAACGGTGCTACTGGGCGCTGCCTCCCTCGTGTTAGACTGGGACCCGCGCACCAAGCGCCAGATCGAACGAGAACGACAGACGTCCTCCGCGTCGCGGCTCCGAGTCACGCTTGTGGACTGGCGCGTCGCGCGCACTAGGAAGTTCATCGCGCAGTGTCTCTCCGCCGGACTGCAGGGTGCGGCGTACTACGCGCCCGTATACTTCATGTCGACGTATGCGCGCACGCTGGGCTACTCCGCCGCGACGGGGGCGATGTTCATCTCCATCTCGAATGCGTCGTCGGCTATCGGGAAGGTGGTCATCGGGCATGTTGCGGATCGTGCGGGGCGGATCAACGTCTTCCTGTTCACGACGCTGATGAGCGCCATTGCGACGTTGGGACTGTGGTTACCGTCTACGGTATCTGGTGGGAAGGCCCTGTTCGTCGCGTTTGCGATGTTCTACGGTGTGTTTGCCGGGGCATATGTGAGTTTGTTTCCTGCGACGCTGGTGGAGTTGTTTGGGGTGGAACACTTTGCCAGTGTCAATGGGTTTTTGTATATGGTGCGCGGGTTTGCGGCTTTGGTTGGGACGCCGGTGGCAGGGGCGTTGATCCGGAGTGGTGGCTCGCACGTCGACCAGGAAGTGATGAGCAAGCTGTTCTTTAACACGAGCATCTTGGTGGGTGTTTTGCTCGTTGGCGCTACAGTAGGTGTGGTCTGGGTGCGAATCGAGGCGGCCCTCAGTATGATGGATCGTCAGGCTGGGATCAATGGAATCTTCAATGGGAGGTCCAAATGGAGGATTTGATGTATATTCGCTCTGTCTGTATATATATTTTACTTTTCGGCAATAGATAGACTCCCCTCTTTTCAAAGACCAAGAACTCTCGGCATCGTATAAACCTTGTCAGTCTCGCACTAAACAGAGCCAAAGACACCACAGCCCGAAAACGAACGAATACGAGCTTAGTAGATACCCAGCCACGAGCCTACATATATAAGGCCATCCTCCCACAATGAACCATCATCCTCTCTTATTAACCCAGGAGAAACAAAATGCGCCTCTTCAACGCAACAACCCACCAACTAACCGACTTCCTCGGCGAGACCATCCCCCCCTACGCCATCCTCTCCCACCGCTGGCAAGACGAGGAGGTCATCTTCCAAGACATTGTTTCCGGGACTGCACCGACCAAAAAAGGCTACGAGAAAATCACACAATGCTGCGCTCAGGCCCTCCGCGATAACCTGGGCTATATCTGGGTCGACACCTTCTGCATCGACAAGACCAGTAGCGCTGAGTTATCCGAGGCGCTGAACTCGATGTACGAGTGGTACCAGAATGCAGAGGTATGCTATGCGTATCTGTGCGATGTCGCTGAGACTACGGTTTCCGCTTCGGAAGGAAGCGGAGGGTTCAGTAACAGTGTCTGGTTCACGCGCGGCTGGACGCTGCAAGAACTCCTGGCGCCTACACGAGTAGAATTCTTCAATGCGGATTGGCGCCCGCTTGGCTCCAAGGCCGAACTAAAGGGGATCATCGCTGGTATTACCCGAATCCAAGAGGAGGTGCTGGACGGGACGCTCCGACCACAAGAGCTAAGTATCGCACAGCGCATGTCCTGGGCGTCAGACCGGGTGACGACCAAGGTCGAGGATATGGCGTATAGCCTGCTGGGTCTGTTCGAGATCAACATGCCGATGCTGTACGGGGAGGGGAAGCGGGCGTTTATCCGGCTTCAGGAGGAGATTATGCGGCAGTCGGATGACCAGACGCTGTTTGCGTGGAAGAGTCCGAATTCGAGCGCCGATAACACCTACCGCGGGCTGCTGGCGCAGTCGCCGGCGGACTTCAAAGAGAGCGGCGAGTTCGTGCAGCCGCAGCAGAGGTTCAATCGCACTCCGTTCGCGTTGACGAATATGGGGATTAATATTGAGCTGGCTGTTGTGCACTGGACCATGGACGTGTACCTCGCGGCGCTGGACTGCGAAACGCAGAGCAGGAAGAAACGGGTGGGGATATTCCTCGCTCCATTGCCGCAGGACAACCAGTACGCAAGGGTAATGTGCGCCGGGGACGATCTGCCAGACTTTCCGGCAGACATGAAGTCCGAATACCGCAAGGTCTACGTGAGACAGAGAATCGCAGGGACACCAAAGGCTCCGGAGCGCATGTACGGATTCTGGCTGCGCCAGTTTCCCCCGGCTTGGAAGGGCACTCACTCCCAATTCGAGGTGACGGCGTACCATCCCTGGGACGACAAGGAGCGCAAGCTCTGCATTCCTCCCGGAAAAAGAGGCACCGCGGGAATTATCAGGTACTCCACGCGAGAGAACCACGTCGTGAACCTGCGCGTCGGGTTTGACGCCATGCTCAACCCCGTTGTCCAGTACGGGGGTTCCCTCATGACCGACGCTCGGTGGAAAGCCCGAGATCCCGATGCCTTCGAGGTGCAGATGGCAGACGACTGGATGGACGAACGAAGGGAGTGCGTCTACATCGGAGACAGGAACCACGGACTCAACCTGAACGACGGGATAATCAGGATACTGGTTCTGGAGGAGGTTGTCAAGGGAGAGCGGATGTGGGTTGTCTACATTGCGGAGCCGGAAAATGGAGTCTGGCACAAGGATTGTGTCTGCGACGGATGCCGGCTTACAGTGTTTGGGACTCGATATCGATGCAAGACGTGTCCTGGATTTGACTATTGTTCCGATTGCTTCCAAAACGCGAGGCGCACGCATCCGGGCCATAGCTTTCAAGAGGACAAGCCTGTTTGGCATGCTGCGGTGTACTGTGACTGGTGTAGTGAGGTAAGTCTCCTGCTTTCTCCTATTGTGCTTCGGCTGACTCCACAGGGCATATATGGGACGCGGTACAAATGCAAAGATTGTAGAGACTTTGATCTCTGCTGTTACTGTATGAAAGAATCGGAGAAGATCCATCCCGGACATCGATTCTCCGAGATTGAACGTCCTGGAGGTCAGCCTCGAGAGGCTAGGTCTGTCCGAGTACAGGACACAGTATCGATCAGTCAGCTTCAGCGCATTACGAATGACCGCGGTGCGAGCAGCCGGTCAGGTCCTAGGAGATCCTCGCAATGAGAGCGGGCTCCAGATGTATGTACCCTCTTTGTCAAGGGTGCTGCGAGGAACAGAGAGAGATAAGATGGACTTTGTCTGGATATGATAAGAGTAGAAGGATAGAAGACATTGTGCGATAGAATTTCGACAGTGATAGACGACGAAGAATACAAGGAGGCCATCACTCGAGGACGCCTCAGCTGCCGACAATTCTATGAAAATCTACAGTGCATTACTGAAACGAAGCAATCATTATTTAGACCGACCACTAGCAACGACAAGCTAGAAACTGTTAAAACCTCCGCCTAGCGTGACCTCAAACATCCTGTCTTACGGCTCAGCGCGACACTCAGTCATCTGCAACCTCGGTCTCACTCCAAGGACACTCAACATCCTCACTCCACAATTCTCTGTACAAATGGCGAGCCGCAGACCAATCATGCTCCCAATCTCCATCCGAGCTGTCAACGCCGTCAGCTTCACCTACCGATACCACACATCTGCACACTCACCTCAAACTAACACAGTTCGGAGCCAGCACAGCCGCCCTGAGCAGGATACACGCCACCACCTCATCGTACGGTTTATAAGCGGTCTTGACGAATGTAAACTCCGTGCTCCCGTGCCGGTCCAAACAGAGAGGTTCGTATCCGTCGTCTCCAGCCCCGTTAAGGAAAATTCCCTGGTGTACGTCGATGATTGGCGGGCCGGGCTCGTCGATGTCGGGACCGCTGAGAGGCACGCTGGAGTGGTCCACGATTTTTTGCGCGTCCTCGACGAGCTGGGGCCACGCGGCTCCCCACTCGGGGCTGGAGGTGTTGTCGACGGAGTAGTAGTGAGTGTAACTGGTGTTTGTTAGTAGATGGTGTGGATGATTGTTTGTTCACATACCCCATCTTGGATGTATCTCGCTTGTGATATTGTTGGTAATTGGAATGGAAGTGATGGAAACCGATGGCGAGATGAGAGATGCAAATGAAGATGTGTTGAGGTGTGACTGTAGATGACTGAATGATGACCTTGATATTCTGCAAGTGCCTGTTTCTGGCTCAGGCATACAAGGAAGGAGCGTCCTTCACTGCACCACTACTTGCACTTCATCGATCATTCACTCGCATCATAATGGCAATAAGGACAGGACCTGGGATGTCCTATATAACACTGAAATATCAAGTCATTTCTACACCGCGATTGCAACGTCCAGTCAAGGATGTCGTTCTGTGAGATGACTATCATGGAGGATGGAGACCCTCTGCTTTTCCTTCTTGAGAATCTCATTTTCACGAGAGCGTACAGTCAAGCAGAATTTCACAGTATAATATTCGAACAATACTATAACGCTTTGAGGAAAAGCTATTGAGAATTGATCGCGGCCTCTATTCAGGGCAAGGGGAGATCTCATATTTTGTTGAGTCCACTACCAAGTCGTAGCAGTATGATCTGAACGTTCCTCTACGTCTTATAACAGCTATAACTCCTATCTACACTGTGCATATTCGAGCTAATTTATTCGACTATGTAGATCCTGCGTGCCTTTCACAAGATACCTTGTCATATGTTTAACACGTGCAGTCTCTTATCTGGTGAATAAACCACTAGACAGTCTGTTAATAAGTACGATCACTAAATCATCTCACCTGTAAATGAACATCCAGCTCGTCAGAGGCTGAATGTCTTAGTAGATGTGTGGGGTCATCTTATTTCATAGAGATATCTGCTTGAGCTAGTAAGCTCATTCCTGTAGGTCATAGCGGTATCAGACAACGCATCGCTTCAATCTTCGTTATTCCCGAGAGCTAAACTGACAATCCAACCAAATGCCGAAAATAATCACACCATGCTAAGATGACAGCTGCGGTTGAGACATGCGCGAGCGATCGAACGACACGTGCATGGACAGCCTGGAATACGAAGGCCAAGCAGACATGTCTCAGCCCTGACGTACATCACGTCAGCTTTTGAGGATTCGGTTTCAGACAAATCCCCGGATTTGGAATATTCGAGTCAGCTGAAATGGTTTGACTTTCGAGGCAGATGCTTCTGTTTGGGTGCCATCTGGCATGCTTGAAACACCACCATATAGAACGCTGCCTAAGCGACATTTCGATTCTGGATGGACTCGACTCTCAGATGGCTGGAAGAACTGAGGCTGGGTTTCTATTCATGTAACTACTGCTTCTGCCTTACAGGATGCAAAATCTGTGATGAGCTCATGATCCTGAACGTCGGCTGAGCCTCTGCTCTTTCCACGACATATAAGAGTCAACCTGTCCCTAAACATCATCTAACCCAACAACGCATTCCATCAGAACAGCAATACCACAAATTTTCCAACACAAGCTATTCACCATGCACCTCCTCACATACATCACCCCCCCCCTCTCCCTCTTCCCTCTCATCAACGCACTGCCCAGTGCTACCGGCTGCACAACCGTCACCCCAGACATTGCCCGCGTCTCCGAAGCCCAGCCGGTAGCCTCCTACCTCCCCGGCTTCCGCATCTCCCAGCAAGCCGGCGGCACCAACAAAGAAGACATGTTCGTCGAATTCAACGTCACAGCCGGCAGCTGGGGCTGCTCGCTCTCCTACTCCTTCCCCGCCGGCACCCCCATCACGACGTCTGGGGCTGCCGCGCCCGTCGAGATCTTTGCGGTGAACGGTCCGCTGAGCCGGTCTCCTCGTGGCATCGACGTCTCCTGGGCGTATTGTCCGGCAACCGGAGCGTTGGTCGGGAGTACGACCTTTGAATCGGATCCCAACCAGGCGAAGACGAGGTTCGTTAATAGTTTCTCGTGCTCGGATAAGATGACGTATCGGTTGAGTGTTGCGGGGTGGTATAAGCAGGCGACTAGTGTCGAGTTTGCACAGGGTCCTGGGGTCGGATTAAGGATGAGCTATAACTGTTAGCTTGTGGGGAAGTGATGGAATTGAATTGTGGAGAGATCGTGAGGTTGTCCTTGGGATATGCCATTCTTCCAATAGTGAATATACTTGTTACGGCAACTGATAGTGCAACGAGATCATTTCTGGAATCTCAGAAGACAGCGGAAATTTCATTCCTAGCGTTTGGTAAATGTAGGACCTCCTCTAGAGACCAATTATGTATGTATCAAGCAATGTGCCTATAGTGAGGCATCTACCTGCGTAGATCTAGAGGTGTCACTTGTTCAATATAGTAAGCGTCTCAGCGTCCAAATCCCAGAGACCTAATCTCCTTCCTCGGCATCACCATCAGCCCGATTACCACTTTCTCTCCGTTGCGATTTGTCATGACAAAGTAGGGTCGCGCTGGTCAACGCTGTGCTTTCTTATCCCTTCAGGAGCATTTCATTTCAGATGCCGCGCTAGTTGTCCGCTGGTAGCTGAGATTTGACGGGAGAACGTGATACACACACCCCAATAAGCTATCCTGCATGGAAATACCGAGTGAGAGTGAAATACAGAGTATAGGCTGGTGTATTCCGTTGAAGTACTGTCTTCCCGCCCCAAATGAAACCAAAGTTGGCTACTTCTTCCGACGAGTAGACAAAAGACCTTGGTCAGAAATGTTGGTGGTTCTGGAACCTATTGGTAGATGTATGAAGCTTGTATTCCTATCTTGCCTGTGGTACCACAATATTCCCCTCCATGGAAAAGCGCAGCGTGTCAGTCGACGATCTCCATGAGCGAGCTGATGAAGTCCATCTGCTCCATCGCCCCCTTGCCCTTGCAGACTCATACATAATCCTCAACGCTTAAGTTGTATAGGACGATAGCACGATAGTGCGCGTCATCTCAACCTTGCGATCTTCCAAGCCATGCAGCCGCGACTCCAGATCGCCAATGGTGTCGACGGTCAGGGACCCCTTCAGAAAGTCAGAAGTGTGCAACGAACTGCTATGGAACAGCAGGTGACACACGGCTCTAGGGCATGACAGACAGGTCGTTGCAATGGTCGGATCGCAGGAATTCGGAACACTTCTTCCACATTAGTAATACTGATTGTCCGTATCTTTTCTCATCGTTCCCCAAGCGTGTTAGGTGCTCCGATTCTGCGATACGCTCTCCGTGCGTGATTGGCCATTTTGGAACAAGATCCCAGGGCAGAAGTGTCCTTTAGCTGCAAATACGGTCGGGGAGACCCAGTGGTGCTTTACAAACCTGTCAGCACAATATTCAGTGTACCTGATCTTGATGATTTACTAACCTTGTAATGTGCAGCCGCTCTTACAACCCACCAGCTGGAAAGGTAGCCAAACTGCCATCATACGTACACTGTTGTCTGTGCGCAAACCAAACATTCATCTTTGTTCACATAGACTGGTTGCACTGCTGCGTTCTTGCAGGCAGCAAAACGGACCCTGGACTCGGTGAAGAACGGGGGGCACGTAGAGCTCAACCGCCCGCAAGATAAGCTTCTTTTTCAAGCTTACCATGCTCGGCCACGACAGTATCGTCTGTCCCGTAGCCAGACACACCCCAGTCTAGGGAGCATATAGTGTGGCGATTCATCAAACTTTAGTATGCAGCCAGTGTTCTTTAGTGTCCTTGCAGATTGCGAGCATTGTAAATGATTCTAGCACACCCCTTTCCAGAAGATCTGGCGCAAGAAATATACCCAGAAAATGGCAGCTCTAGCTGGTTGAATTGGCCGTCAAGACAGGAAGAGAATTACAGGAGGTAGAAAAGAGAAGGGAGGAGATGGATATTATATTACTAAAGCATGTGAATGACATAAGGGCAACATATTCACTCAGGCATTCATTGTTCTGTAAGGGGACCCATTCAAAGGATGAGGCTGAGACAATAAAAGCAGATGATGAAAAGGAAAAGTGACCGATGTGAATGCGCCAATCGGCGGCTAGAACTGTGGTCTCAGAAACCATTGTTCCATTCTGGGAAAACGTGGCGCTATTCCCGTTCGCTTAACCAACTTCCATCCAATAAAGAACCAGACCATTTTTCATACGAGATGAACGCCAAGCTACGCAGATTAAGTAGCGTCCAGGGTTTGCGGCTCAGCAAGAATACTTAATCCCGACCATGGATACGCCAACCTCAGCTGGGAGGAGAATGCAAACATGTGTCTTCAAGACAGTGGCCTCCCACTATGGCACATTTTCTGCGCCTTACTCTGCTCATCAATCAGTGTGCTCTTCCAGCCAGCCGGCCATGTCTCATTTGTCGATGACTTGAAAGTCAACGCCGCATTTCTATCCCCCATCACAGCGGCTCTCTGGTTTCTGCGCACTGTATTCAGTGTTGTCGGGTGCAGGGTATCCGACTTGGCGGATTTTCCGGCAGCTCTATGGATCGCCTCGGAGAGGGAATTCCAGAGTCATGGTGGGCCCTACGTGATGAGCGCGCTCGGACGAGGGCCACGGAATATCTACGTTACTGCCCGATGGGTGTTTTTCGTCCTGATCACCCTCCCGCTTTACCTCAGTCTGGTCTACTTTGTTCAGGTCTGGTGGGCGACAACATGGGCAACCTGCCTGGTAACCAAATTCCTCTTGCTGGAACTCCTGACAAGATACTACCGCCCAGCGCGGAGAAGGGTGGTCGTACACACAACCTGGCCCGAAGTCCCGCTCATCACTTTGTCCGGCACGCGAATCCCTGCTGAGCCCAGCAAATCCGACCAGGACCCCGTCCAGGGGAAGGATGTCGTCGCAGAACAGAGCATCGACCCCAAAGACGCAAAGGCCCTTCTCCCCCTCTGCGCCCGCATCGAGAAGTTCTGCTCCATCATGACCCAGAGCCCCGACGAGGCAGAACGAAGCCGCATGACCCCAGCAAAAGACTTCTACCTCCGCAAAGTCATACACCACGAGTCTCTCGACCCCCGCCTCTGCTGCGCGCACACGCGTTGTCGTCTGTTCAAGCTCTTCCATATACTAGACAACGCACAGCCCTACCTGTCACTGACCCTCGAGGCTCTCGTCGTCTTGTACCTGGGCCACCAGAACCTACGCACGATCACCATTCTCGCCACGGGGTGGATCATGAGACCTCGCTGGGTGATGTTTGCCGTCTCCCTGGGGACGAGGGTTACTGTGGTGGTATTCCTCCCGATTCTTCTGGGGTCGGTGGGGATGGCCGTTCTGCGTGCGCGCGTCCCGCCGACGGAGGTGACGTTCTGCCGCCGCCTCTTGGAGTCTATTTGTTTGTTTATGCTGGGGGTTGCTTGTACGGTGTATTTCTTGGCGTTTGGGTATCCGCCTATTTCTCCGGTTACATTAGCGTGGGTGGGGGAGGTGATCGCTGCTCCAGTGATACTGGGAGTGGGGTTCACATTCTCTCGATGGATGGTGAGAGGGCCGCGGCGGGGTGTGGATGGGCCCTGGTCGACTGGGGAGGAATGGAGGACGATCAGCGATAAGAAGAAGGCTGCAGATGAGCCACCGCTGTTGGATCATCTGTTTGTGTTTGCTTGGACTGTGGTGTTTCTGATTCCTGCGGTTGTTGTGTGGGTTCTGATGAAGACGGTGTATTGTGCTGCGATAGCATCACAGGAAGCGGAGATTCAGAGGAGGTTTCAGGAATATTATGAACATCCAGGGATTTAGTAGTCCGATTGGCAGTTTGGCTCTTGGCTGATTAGATCATGTATATAAGCTATAGTTTCAACATGAGCATCAAACAGCGCAGAGGCTTGTTCTTGCCCGTCTTCTCCTCTACTCTGTCCAGCGTTTCCATCATCGTAGTGAACAGCTTCTCTAGCACCTCCAATGTATACGTCAGGCTCCCGCACTCTTTCATCTCGGCCAGAATATGTAGCTTGTCGGCATGCGACATCTGCGCCTTCTTGTCCTGTCTGTATATGATGTTGAATAGCTCGTCTGACTTGGAACTATGCTCGAGCAAGTGGAGGACTGGAAACGAGAACTTGCCCTCGTCTAGATCATCGCAGAATCCTTTCCTTGCGGTATACTGTTCCGAATTAGCTTTGGGGGATAAGTTGAGTTGAACGCCTCACCTCATCAGACGCGAGATTCTGATAGTCGTCGCGGATTTGATAATATCTCCCAATGAGGGTAATCAGATGTTCCAGGTCAGGGTCGACTTCAGTGCTTGTCAGAGAGCACAGGGCACGTAGTAACAGTCGAAAAAAGCCTCCGGTCTTATGATCGACCATTATGAAGTACTCATTGAAAGTCGGACGAGTCTTGTTGAACGTCCAGTTAAGATCTAGCGCCTGACCGCGAGCAAGGGTTTTGATTTCCTCTACAAAATAATCACATTAGCATCGAGTCGGACACGAAATGGAGAGATTTACCTAGTATTATTTTCAAACAATCAGGACCAAGATGCTTTAGAATACGGCCGACGACCTCCGCATGCAGAAACGTGGCGGTGTTGACAGTCTGACTGAGTCCGAATTCAAGATGGGCAGCGGGTCTACCACGCCGAAGTGTTGAACCATCTTCGATATCATCGAGTCTGCATCATTAGCGAGTTGGCTTATTCTGACTGGGTAGACATACAGCAGTGTTGAATTGAAAAGCATTACCGCGACCTCTTTCAGGACTGAAGCGATATCGTCTGGTACACTGAACCACACTCCTAGGCAATTGATGAATTTGACCAAGGTGTTCTTGCCAGGAAGAGCCTTTATATAGTTGAACGGAGCCATGCAAATCTGAAATATTAGCTATTGGTAGCAGATCAGGTGAAAAACTAACCTGGTCGGCATCGGCAACCTGAAAAGGTGCACAAACATCAACTTCCAAGACAGTGCCGTTTGCAACTTTGGGTCCCAGGCAACCTGCTTCATGACTCTCTCCATTCACAGTCTTTTCCTGACTCTCATCGAGTGCTGCTGGAGGCGGATGTCCTTCTAGTTTAAACACCGGGGCCCTTCGCGGTTGAAGCAGCCGAGCTCGATCCTCGACGGTGGTTATAAACCCATCGTCACTATATCTGGGAGTTTGAGCCTGCCAGTAATTTGCTCCGCCAATTGATAGAATGAAAAGTATGAGGTAAGACCGAAGATCATCCGACTTCGTTTCCGACGATTGTTCCCATTGTCTGTATTTCTCCATCAGGTTCTTTTCCGCGCCGAGTACCTCGCGCTTCAGGATATCTCCTGCTTCAAGCTCGGTATAGCCATACTCGGTCATCAGCAGTGCCATTGCATTGTGGACTGCATCAAGGCTTCCAGAACGAAAATGGTCGTCAAACTCTCTGTGAAAGCTGTAGTAGTCATTTGACAGGGATAGGCTCAAAACACCATAACCAATCATTTCCGACACGGCTTGCCTTTCGTCTTCTGTCACCCGCAGGCCCTGCATGTAAGCAACGAAGTCGTAGGTTTGTCTAATCCACATTAGCATCGAGTCAAACTCGTAAATAAGAGACATCGCTCACTTGGCAATGGAACTCGCGATCCGAGCTTTCTTGTACTCTTCAAACAACATGCCGGACTGGCTGCCCGTCGACTGCGCAGTAATCATATCTACCGAGGTTTTGAAGAACAGCGACCTTACATCTGGCGTGAAATCGGGTACATTATTCAACAACGAGTTAAATCGCTTGTTTATGTCATACTCGAACACTGGCGGTTGACCAAGTTTCCACATCGACAGGACGCCCAGAGTAAGATCAGCGAGGGTGTCATTTTTCTACTCGTCATCAGTGCCTGCCCCCTAAAGAAGGCACAGAATCTTACGCTTCGAGTATCAAGGGTATCAATCTCATCTATAAGACATAAGAACATGTGGCTCAATAAAAGGAAGCTTGATTACCATCATAATGAAATAGCACTTCGCACATCTCAGTCATCAGCGGGATCAACGCAGGCGGCAATTCGGGCGCAGCCCACGAGATTATATGACCTGTAGAAGCGATACATCCTCGAGAAAGAAGAGACTCTGGACTCTTGGACCAGCCTTGAGCGACTCTTTTGATTACGTCAAGCGACGTAGACGTGGCCGTTTCTTGGAATCGCGATTTGCGGTAGGGTAGGCTGTTGAAGAACAACGGGGGAAGTTGTTCGTTTGGATCTGCAGGATCTGAGTAGAGATAGTTGTATGAAAGGTTAGGAAAGTCGGACATGCTGGCTACAGGTATCAGTGATGCTTAGAATGGTAGATACGTGTTCCTGGTACTTTCAACGCGGGGGATTGGGCTTCTTATCAACTCCGTCCATCCTGAAAAAGCAATTCTGCGTCCCCATTCTGGCGGTTAACGATTGGCTGCTCCGACGTGTTGCGCAGAATATGCACGTTCCTCCAAGTTGCCCATTAGTATTCAGAAGTGATGGTGAAGAATAGCAAAATAGTCTGAACGCATTTTTGGCCGCTAGTGGTAGTATATTTCAATAGATGGTGATTATGGCTTGCTTGCGGGGCTTCTACTGGGCTTCAGGGGCCTTCGGGCGCAGATCAATCTGCAAGAGAAGATTTAGTACTTAGTTATGTCTACAAGTCAACCATTAAACCACTCAGCTATGAGCGATGAACGTGTCTAGACACCATTGTAATGTAGAGGGAATAATAGTTGTAGACTACAAACAAGTTACTAGGTACTAATCCAACATGGACTGAGTCTAGTCTATCCACCTGGTCTCCAGTGAACTGACCTTTAATCCTTAAATAAGGATAAAACACTGTATATAATGAAAAGAAGATGTCATCCTGCTCCTCATGCACTCAGGCAACTGATTGTTATAAGGCGTGATTAAGTTTGTCCGCAACCACAGACATGGCAGAGTCCCTCTCTCTTCATTATGGCCATTCTTCTCCCAGCGAATAAAAGCCTGTATTCAAAAGCGTTTATTATCATGATCCCATTCACTTTTCCGGCTATCTGGCATAGCTATAAAGTACCATGATGAATTGCCTGAAAACAAGTATGTCCTTCCTGAATCTCGATCTCTTGGGAAAAGCCCAGCAGAAAGGCACCATGCGTACGTCAACCCCCTTTACACAGAAAAGCGCAAAGCATACCTGGACGGGCTTTACAAACCTAGGAGCTTGTGTCGAATGTGGAAGATCCATACTTAAAATCCAGCATCTCTTGCTAGGTTCGGCATCAAGTGTCACAATCTCCTTCAAGAATCATCCTATGAGGAAGCGCCAAAGCCGTTCTTGCCTAAAACTAATCTTTCTTGCGCATCATGTCATGGTAATATCTTTCATGGCTGGGATGAAAGGCAGGGTTCTTCAGGCATACTTTGCTAACGACGGGCTGGTCATTTATAAGACCAGACTTCTATTTGTCGGAGTACACAATGCGGAAAGCTCAGCGCACTTCTGTCTCGAGTACATGGCGAGCGAGATCGTTGGGATACTGCAGTCTCGGAGACAACGTCAGTTTTTTGGCGACTACTCAGTTTGGTGAAGCCTGATGTAAGTAATTTACCTACGTAAGTATACCACCTATACTTTGCAACTACGACTGGAAATAGTACGCTGTATGTTGAGTTTGCTCCAGATAGTGAGAGATTTGCAGCAACCATGGCTCATTCAAGAATTAAACCTGGCCTTTAGAATGATGATCAGACTACTTTTGCTACTTCGTATTGTGCACTCCATATCCCCCTTCAGCCCATAGGCCTATAGCTAAAGCAGCTTGCTGGAAAGGCAATCATCATACTCAAGTGACTGTGATGGTCGTCTAGAATAGAACACAGTGTTATTGTCTTATTGTCTGTCTTTCTAAGTTGCTAGTGGTTAGAACGGATCTCTCTGTATATGTTGTACGCAGAAAAGTAGTTAACAGGGCAGATACTCCAAAATGGGGATATGATTCACATGTAAGATCTCCTCACCTTGCTCTCTAATGTCAGTGACGGGAGCAGGAGAGCCAATATAATTCTGCATTATATTGAAGAATTCCTGTTACTGGACGGACTCAAGAAACTGTTGTCCGCAAGACGAGGTTGGTCGGACAAGAATTTCCTTTTCGGGTGTGGTGTCGGAGTAAAATCGGACTCAGTTATGTACGATCCAATATACTAGGGTACTATGATCCTTCTTCACACCTCGTCCATCAGAAAGGCGATTGATTTCTCTTACTTTATAAATACTCATATCTAAAGTCTGGATTCCATGTATCGACGGAATGGAAAACCCACGTCGTGTGAGCCCTGTAGGATCTCTAAAACCCGCTGCGACCATGCACCGGTCTGCGGACGATGCAGGACTCGTGGCATTTCAGAAAAGGTAAACACCCTCATGATTATGAAAGTCGAACTCATGCTCTATAGTGCTTCTATCATCCAGCTCCGATGACTCGTCCTAAAACAAGATATCGGTACTACCTAGCAAAGGATGCTGGCCGACCTTCGAGGCGCGCATCGCCTGAGAAACAACCAAGAAATCAAATAACTATAGGAGAACAACGCCCGAGCCTCGAGGAAGAAGGTGCAAGTCCTGATCTGAGCCCGTCGGGATATGTCGGCTCTTCTAGCATCCTTTCTATATGTCCGAGATTCTCGCCTGTCATCTCTCGCAAACCAGCACATCCCCGGGACAAGGACCCTTGGCCATTCGATTTCGTGAAGCAACAATTCAGAAAACTGTTGGCTTCTTCGGGATGTGTAGAGCAACTCATATTTCAATACTACGATAGCGGTCGTTTTACCGTCATCCCGCGACCTTTGGTTCTTGACCCGATCTCCACGCTTCTTCGAGAGTTGAGTGCACACCAGAATGAAGAAGCACTTTTGGATAGCTATCTTGCAAATGCCAGACGAAATTTACACAAGAGATTTCCATCCCTCTCAGCTCATACAACGGTGACTGAATTCTTCGGATATTTCAATGCTGACAATTTTCGACTGGAGTTTGTTGGCCTCATATTTGCTCTCGCAGGGGTCTCCGTCTTTTACAGCCAGCAAAACTTCGCTGCAGAAATGTACGCTGCCAGCAAGGTCTGCATAGGAATCTGTGAGGAATACAATCAAGTGAACGATCTTACCGTTTGGTCGCGGTATATGAATTTTATTCTAGCATCGATTCTTTTTGGAGACGCAAGTATGGTCCTCACTCCCCTCGCCTTCCAGGCTTGGAAGTGCTCACAGCGTCGCAGGTAACATTTTATACCACCGAGCCAGTGAATTTACAGCCGAATTATTCGTCATGGGTTTCCATCGACTCATATCCTCGCCACCTGATGTTCCATTCTTCATCCTGGAGACTCGTAAGAGAATTTTTGCGTCGGCCGTGGCCAAGGACAAAAGCCTTTCTACTTTTCTTGGGAGGGCTCCACGGATAGATTGCGATTTTTGTGACTTGCGAACCCCGTTCGATCTAGACGATGAAGAGGTCTTGCTTGAGGGCAGCCGACTTGATACGGCTTTGCAAGCCCTTGATCGGGATGAGTGGAAGCGCCCTACCGGGGTGGATGAGCCCATCCGGCCAGCTAGTTTGATTCGACTTCGATATCACCAAGCTCACCTTCGCGAGAAGATTCTACGCCTGTCATTGGGGAACAGAACGAAGACTTTCTCGGAGACTCTCTCGTATGTCATGTTTTGCCATTCGTCATACCTACCTAACAGATATGCAGGACTTTGTACGGAGAGTATCAGGACGCGTGGTCAAAGATCCCACCGCATTATCGCTACAACAAAAGTGTCTGGGAAAAGTCGAACCCCCAATTATGCGTGGCACTTTTGATTGTTCATCTAGACTATCTTTACAGCGGTTTTTTGATAGAACGAATGCTCACTGAAGATGGTCAAATGACTAAGACCTGCCTCCTGGCAACATCAGCGAAGCTGCTTTCGGGCGTACTTGAGTTCGTCCAGCAGCAACATTGCTATCCTGAATTACGCGAGCGGTTTACATGGATGGTGTGTTCTCTCTGCGTATCTTGACCGCAAGCTAACCCGAGGTGCTAGTTCCTTTTCTACGGCCTTCCAGGAGCTGGGACCCTTGCCACCGAGCTTCATCATAGCACTCTTCGCGGAGTCCCATTACAGACCACTATTCCTTGCGCCAGTATCATCCGCGACTTGAGTGTATTACTAGCATGGTTCGAGCGCAAGTGTTTTCCCGATCGGCCTGACTTTCTCGTCTGCGTTCAGATTAGCAAAGTCATTGGTGCTCTTTTGGATGATACACTGAATAAGGGTCGACCTTCATCTCAGATGGCAATTCAACCGGGAAACCAGCAGCCAAATCAGCATCCGCCGTGTTTATCTCACCCTGGTCCTGCAAGCCACAGCCACCTTGGGATGGTTCAGCCGCTACCTGACGCAATGACAAGCCAAGACTTTCTTAACTGGTTTGACGATCTGGTGTGGGACGATCCCTCCATGAATTTTGACTCCGTCAGTTAGTAAACCTTCAGTGGGAATTTTTAGATTTATCTGAATATTGACGCTCTCAACTGTTCTATAATTAAATGTAAATCTGAAATGTGACATTGTAAGGGGGGATACTTAGCGATTACTTCCTGTGCCGTTCATGTCGGGCACCGCTTAGGGCTTGGTGACGTATACGCTAAATACTTTAGGCCCAGTCACCAACTCAATAACAACGGAAAATATATACCAGACACCGCTTAAATGCGGACAACTAATGCAGCTTGATATATCCCCGGGAGCAAGCGATGACTCGAAACACGAGGTCACCTGATAGTAGACATATAAGACTTCCCGTCATTGTCCAACCCCTCATTCTCCAAAACACACCCATCGCAAGTCTCTTGACCAAAATGTCGACTGCAACAAAGATTCTAACGGCACAATGCCACTGCAAAGCAGTGCACTTCAATATCAGCATCCCTGTAACATCCCTTCCCCTACCAGTCCACCTCTGCCACTGCAACATCTGCCGGCACCAACGTGGAACTCTCTGTGTCTTCCATGCCCCACTTCCCTCCGGCACAAGGCCAGATTTCATAGCACCATCGAGCATGGCAAATATGACTCCCTACATCCGGCCCGGGTCAGGAGCAAGGAGGTACTTCTGCAGTACGTGTGGTTGCCAAATCGGCGGTGGACTTATCGAATCTGGTGACTGGGTGATCGCAACGGCCATCTTCGACGCCAACCGCGATGATACGGGGATCTGGGATATCAAAAAACATATATACACCGAGCCTACGCTGGATGGAGGGTTAGCGGAGTGGTTACCACGGATTGGGGAGAAGGAGATGGCAGTGTCTAATCCTCCAGACGACACAATCGATTATCCACAAGAAATCGATGGAAAACTACTCGCGCAATGCGACTGCGGAGGAGTGTCGTTCCAATTCTCCCGCCCAACACAGGAAATCCTCGACGACCCAGAGATGAGACGTAAGTGGGTATCCCCCGTCGATGAGTCGAAATGGATCGCCTGTCTGGATGCCTGCGATACGTGCCGGCTTACAGACGGGGCTCATGTGATAGCCTGGACGTTCATCCCAAGGAAACTCATCACGCCGGAGATCCCGGATGATCTACTCATTGGTTCGTCCAAAGGCTATGTCTCCAGCAAAGGAGTGCGGAGGACGTTTTGCGGTACTTGCGGCGCAAAAGTCTTTTACAACTGCGAAGGACGGGAGGACATCGTGGACGTGGCGATAGGACTTCTTCACGCGCCTGAGGGTGCCAGAGCGGAGAACTGGCTGACGTGGAGGACGAAGCGGATGGCCTTCCCGGAGGATGGGATGCGGTATGATCCTGTGTTGACTGAGTCGCTTCGTCGAGGATTCGAGGAGTGGGGGAAGCGGAAGCATGGTGACTTGCTTGATATTACCATCCCATAGGACTGTAAACCGCAGAAGTGGGAGGTGTCAATATAAATGTGCTGAATAGACAAAGGACTGCCACTGGTCAGTCTCCCTCGACCTTCGTGGTACTTCCACCCTCCTGCTTCCCTCCTTCACCTACCCTTCTCTCCGCACAAGCTACATAACGTCTCATTGTTGGAAGTTAAACATCAGAGTACTGCTTAGCGGTCAACATCCTTAACCGCTGCGATCTGCAACTTGGGGTTCCCTTTTATAGCTCTTGGTCGACGGCTTGATAATAATGTGAATATATTCTCTCGCCACTACCGTTGATCATAACCTTGATCCTATGGCAGGTTGCATATCATTAAAAGGGCAAAAGTTTATTCTATCTAGAAAGAAACTTCGACTACAAAATATGGGAAATTTGGAAATGAAACTACTTTTGACACGATAGCAGTGAGGCGTCAGTGTCCTCTTGGCATTATTTAGGACGGCGAGCATTGTAGATATAGTGTAAAGTCAACCATAATATCCACTACTAGCTGAGAACGCAGAGAGAATAGAGAAGAGAAAGTGTTTTCATTCCTAAACTCTCAGAAAGTGAACAGCCTTGAGGATTTCAATGTATATATATTTGACAGAAGTGCGTTTGAAGCTTCTGTTCACAGGCCGGAGCCTATCAAGTATCTGTGCCGAGTGTCTCCAACGGTCCACGGAGGGAGAGTGCTCTGTCCGCAACGTTGGAGAAGACGATACGCTTGAAACAACAACGTCCAGCAACGAGTGTATGATTATTCTGGGTTTTTTCGTTAAGATATTGACAGGCTGCAATACCAACAGGCATCGGCGTTGGGCAGCGGGCTTGAGGAGAATAAAAAAGAGGGTGGAAATTGAACTAGAGAGTCAGTCTCCTTGATTCTCGGAGCTGTATTTGGCTTGGCACCATAGACAGTATTCTATAGTGTCAGTTTTTGCTCCTCTTACTATACTCCAAAGTTCGTATATCTATGTTCTTGCCAGGGTGGTACAACTGATGTTCTTAGGGCTTTGGATCATCACCTGAGTCAAGAAACCGATCGGCGATCACGGGTTTCATGTCATATGGAGTATCCTCCACATTCCATAAAAGTATCCATCCCCATTAGAGAGAACTTCAAAACTAAATCATAAAAGCTGTAATGATCTCCCTAACTCTGAGAGACTGATGATTAACAGATGCCGTTGCACATGCATACGTTCAGCGGTGGGTCCAAGGACAAAGTTCCATCAAGTGGGACTGGATTGTAGATCTTCATAACGGAATGGCCAACCATTGATTGTGGCCAGTCGTTATACGAGGTTTCAGTTTGTAGTTTGCCCCAGTTGACTCGTTTAGATTGCTGGAGCGAGATCTTTTAAGCAGGGTTTCGGTCGGTGGCCGATTGGCTTAGACTGCTGGTTTTGACTTTGTTAACTGATCATGTAGTTTGCCTTCCAGTTGGTGGAAGGAAATCATGTGCAATTAATATCGTCGTTATTTCATTATCTCACTCGACGCAGGGGAGGAAGATTCACTGAGGGCCTAGATATTTGTAGCTACATGTTGAGGCTAAGATTCGAATATACATTATCATCCCAAGATCTCCGATCATTAAATAGTATTAACAAAGGAAAACAGTAATTGAAATCAAGATAGTAGGACGATCATCTGCTGAATCGATTTGGCTTCCGTAAGGCTTGCTCTGGCTCTGCAGCTTCGTGCGTGATCTCAATAGTCGTTTCCTGATATACTCCGTGCGCCATATTGCCGAGCTCCATGTCCCCTTTCGGCACAATATCTTCCGTCGAGTCGCCTCGGTCATCGAGCACCGTATCGTTGATACCTTGCAAGCCACGGCGGAGGCGAGACTTGACCCGAGACTTCTTGCTGTCGGGACCCACAACGGTGGTGCTGATGTGCGTGTTGTACAGATTCGAGCCGGTGTGTTGTGCGTAGTAACGGTCCGACGTGCTGACCTCGGTGTCCATCAGCAGATGCCGGCGGGTCACTGTGTACACAATGACATCCACAAGTCCGGACAGAGCCATGAGGGCACCGGCGACGGCAAAGTATGCCTTGCTGGGAACGACATGTCTGGCCGAAGACATTCGCCCCGCAGCCAGAGGAAGGGAGAGGAGGACGTAGACCAGAGGATAGATAACCATGTACACGACGACTCGGTTCAATCGGTTGAGACTTTCCTTGTGGTTTTGTCGAAGGGCCGCTGCTTGTTTCATCTGACGCCGGAGGTAGAAAAACATGATGCCGTACAAAATGATGGTGCCGAATTCGGACAGGAAAATCCAGAAATAGTGTCCCCAGAGCCGCTCGGCTTGTGATTGTGGACTGAGCCAGCACTATATAGAGTCAGTACGTCCAATCTTCATTCATCGTCAGGTAGGCTCCGAGGAACTCACCCAGCCGGCTTCCGAAATCACAAAGGTCCTCGAGCCATACAACCCGACAGCAATCAATCCGAGCAGAATGATAAAAGCCCAGAGGGCAACGACACACCAGACAAACGTCTTGAAGGGCAATTGCCGCCCCCGTAGCACAACTGAACAAGTATGTATCGCAATGGCCAACACGAATAACCCACTTCCTGGATCTCCGGTCTGGATCCACCACCCTTGGAGAACGCATGCCGCACTCGGGTAGTTTACACCGCCACGGGCGACCCAATGCAGGCAGAGCAAGAACGCCGTTGCTTGTTGGATGTCGACGAGAAGGAGGTTATAGATGAGCACGACATATTGATTCTGCGCGAGAGGACGTTTATAGTAATGCTGCCAGAAAATGAATCGGTACGTTAGGAAGGAAATGAGCGAGAATGTAGCGATCCACGAGCAGAGAGCGACTGCTCCTATTGCAATGAAGCCCGCACGAAGGCTCCCCGTCAGAGGCTCGTCGGCGGCCGTTGGCGGCTGAACTCCATGAGAACGAGCAGTGAGGTATGCTTTGTCGCCATTTTCGCTTTGCAACAGTAGCAGCGTTCGAACCAAGCTAGTCATCCTCGTTTATCATCGCAGATAAAGGCTGATATGGGATGCGGTCGTTGAGAAAGATGCCAAACTGATTGAGTTGGCGAGGAGGTTCCTGATTCCTAGCATAACGGGTACTCCAGGCTCTAATATGGTATCTGTCCGACCCAAAGTCAAGGTGAAAGCTTTTATTACCTTGGCTTATGTCCAGCTAGCTAGACGTATGGGTCAAGGACGTGGGAGAACCAGAACCATGGTCTTGAAATTTCGTCCTCCGTCACTCTGTCCGATTCGCTAGACAAGCGGGAAGTGATGCTTTAAGGGATAGTCTAGTCTTGCCTATTTTCCAAAGCATCTTTCTATGGCCACATGGCAGGGAGTAGTTCCTAACCATACTAGGAGTCAGGACAATACGAGATCCGCAAGAGTGGCAATACGGCTCTGTTGGTCTCCACAGACGATCCACCAAACAGCGGTCTCGACCGACAACATTCCAGATGCAGTAGATATTAGACAGATAGTGCTATCCAACATGTACGAAATAAGAGCCGTCAAATTTTGCCGAGCTGTCTGGGCGCAAAACACGTGGAGTAAGGCTGGGGGTCAAAGCACACATTG